CAAATTTGGGACCAAAAATTATTCAGACCGAGTCTGGGGGAAAAAAAAGTTGAGGTTTGCATGAAGCTGGATGACAGCATGCCCAGGAGACTATATGCTGTCATTGAGGCTAAGGGCTGCCCGACTAAGTATTGATAGTTGTGTAAATATTGACAGCTGTAAGAATAATGTTTGGTTTGTTGTAATCCATTACATACCTTTCTATCACAGTTATCTGACATTATCAAGATGAATTTGTTCTGACACAGTTTAACTCTGAGTTCTTGTCATATTTATTACCATTTTCTAAACTATAGCGAATAAACGGTGATAATGTGAGAAATGTTGAAGGTGTCTGAATAAATTTTGGTTTGACTGTATCTATTTGATAAATGAAGTTAACCAACTAACATTGTACATACTCTTTTGGTTTCTGTACCCAATATTTTAAAAATTTACAAATGCAATAAAAATATTGGTATCGGTACTCGGTATCGGCAAGTACCAAAAATAAAAGTATCGGTATCGGGCGTGTACTGGAAAAAGTGGTATCGGTGCATCCCTAGTTCCTAATAATGAACAGCATACCTCATATTTGTGCATTTAAAATGATCTCATTACTGTTAAGGTCTTTGGAAATTTTGGACAGGCTTTAATTTAGTGAGACTGTTTTAAAGGGGCATGCTTATTTGAACACAGTTGTGTTTAGGCCTGAAAACTGACAAGTTTTAAACATTGTAGCAGATTGTGTAATACACTGCATGAAAAGGCACGTTTCCGGACTGTTCACGCCAGCGCACGAACCTGTGAACTGCACGACAGTTTTCATGTATGTGCTTTGGCGTTTCTTGACACGGACAGAAATGGACCACTTTTGTGCGTGGCAGTTTTTCAGCCCACTCAATAACGCGAGAAACCCCCAGACATGGACGGAAATTTTGCCCATTTACCGGCAAATCCACGTACCTTTTTGTGCATGAGAAGTCTCCGCAAAATCCAGGGTACAAGCAGTTAAATCTCCGTAAACGGCCACTCATGTCTTAGTAAATGTCTATAAATTACCTTACACAACTGCTATGCTCACAATGACAGAGACGTATCCCAACAGACTAAAGCTGTAATTAAAGCAAAAGATGGTTCAACAAAATACTGACACAAGGGGGTGATCCTTTTTTGCATGCGCAGTATCATCAGCTCATCGGTTCTCAAATCGGACGTTTTATGTACACGTAATTGTCATCCAGCTTTGAAAAAAGCAGCAGTTATCATTAATTTATATGGATTGGATACTGTGAATGGCACTCTTGTTCATTATGCAGAGATGCCACCGGAGTTCTCAATGCATGTCTTTGAGTTGTGCGTGTCATGTGTGCCTTTGTTCTGGCAGTGCTGAGCAGTTTACCAACATTTTAGTGAGGTTTCAATGAAGTATCAGACCAGTAGTAGCATTACTTCACCACACGAACATCATAACAATTACTCAAATTTCATAGACCGATAAGTGTCACCGGTTTTCAAAGACACTATTACAATCCATCAATAACAGCATGCAATCACTGAACTACTGGAACTAATAATGTTTATTTCTTGGGAATCATTATTCACTTCATTAATAACCTAACCATTAATTAATAACATAGTACAATGTAATAAAAATTGTTAATGTTTGGCAGATTAAATAACACCATTAAGTCTTGATATCGTGATATTGGAGACGCGCTGATAACGCGTTTGGTCTCGTTCTGTATCGCATATCTTGTCAGTGTCTGCGCTTGCTTGGACATTTGTTGCGGAGAAAATAAGGAAAGTGTGTCCAGCTAAATTAATTTAGTATTTTGTTAAACGGGTAAAAAAAAGCTTAGTTTACCACGGCAGCCGTCGCGTGACGCCCTCCTCGTATGAAGACCGAAGAGTGTAAAGACCATCGACTCTACCGTGCGACTCCACCGGGCAGGGACACCGGCAAAGGATAAGTATCGCTTTTTATTTCTCCTCTTTCCTATTACTTGTTTCATTTCTGTTTCAGTTTTTATAACCGTTTCTTTCTGTAAGTTAGTTGTTGTTTTTTAGCATGTGTGTTTGGCAGTGTTATTTTTTAGGATTACTGATAAACTACTGTCATTTGATTTGTATATTTTTTTTTTTTTTTTTGTGTTTGGCTTAGTGTTATGTTAGAATCATTATTATACTCATAACTTTTTTTCTTTAATATTTTGAATTGTTTTTAGCTTCCTTTTTTGTTTTTTATTTAATCTCTTTATTTTTAAAATGTGTATAGGTGGTATTTATAAAGTTTTAGCTTTTAGTTTTGGATCTGTTTTTAGTTGTTTTAATACTACAATCGATTGCTTCTGTTGTCCTCATTTGTAAGTCGCTTTGGATAAAAGCGTCTGATAAATTACTAAATAAAAAAATAAATAAAGTCTACATTTAAAAAAAGCTAATTAAGAGTGCTTTTACACTGGCAGTTTTGTTCAAAACAAGGCCCAGTTTGCACGAAAACTGGCAAAGTGAAAGCTGTCATTCGGACCCAGAGCGCCGATAGCCAAGTGTGTACCACACACTTGTTCACTAAGTAAAGTAACCTTCATGTGTTTTAGCTGATGACGGCATCATTAGTTCAACACAATGTGTAGGGGATGAAATTATAATAGAAATTTAAAATGTACAGTACATCCAACTACTGATCTGCATCATCTGAGATGATCTTCATTTCTCTCCAGGGTGGCAGAAGAAACACGAGTACAAATTACAACAAACAGGCAATAAAACTGCACATATGGTAGTGGTTCTGTGTTATTATTAGTTAAGGTGTTGTTTACCATGCTGTTTGGCCATCTTTATGTGCATGTCCATGATGGTGGTACGACTGATATTTTGTGCAGTATTCACCACCTGCTGAAGAGTCCTGTCAGCCACTGAAGAACACAGATATTGCTTCAACACATATCATGTTCGTGGGAATGGGATTGCCAGACATTTTGAGTCTCATCCAGAACTGAGGCCATTGTTGGGTCTTCTTTATTAAGGAGGGAGTGTTCAAGTTCTAAGCTCAAGTTCATGACCAATTACATCTTTTTGCAGCAGTGTAAATAATTATTATTATGAACTGGGGCATTTTGTTTACCTTATGTGTACCACTGTATACAAAAGTGTTCAGTACAGTGTACAGTTATAAAATCAAATCAATGAAGATATGATACCCTAAATGCAGTGTCTCGTTCCCTACTCAGGGAACCATGGTTACATAAGTAACCCGAGACGTTTGCTTAGATTTGAAATAACTGGCTAGTTCCCAAATTAGATTTCTAATGGCTACCATTACAGATTTCAATGTACTCCATCCTATGTGAGGTTTTCCTTTACATTCATTGGTTTCTGAGCTGATTTTGTTTTGTTTCCAAAGATGTAAGAAGGTTAAACTGCAGATTTCATATGAAATATTTAGAGACCGTATCGCCAACTATCAAAAAGCTTTGAAGACAGTGAAATCTAATAATCTTTCTAAACTAATTGCAGTGAATGAAAATAACCTGAGAGTTCTCTTTAAGACCATTGGTTCTATTTTACATCCTACTTCTGCAACGTATCCTCAGCTGAAGCTTTTCAAAAGTTCCTCCAATTTTTCATTTATAAAATACACAGCAACAAGGCATCTATCCCAACCTTAAACTTTTCTTATCTATCTGGAAGCCAGTTGTCTGGGCGCTCTGACTGTTTCTATCAAGTAGCGTTATCCTATTGAGTGAACTGGTAGCTAAGATGAAATGTTTACTTGTTAACTGGGTCTTTTGCCTGCTTGCCTCTGTAAAGCTGCATTTGATACGGTGGCTACACATGTCACAGCAATTGTTAACACTTCACTGGCAAATGGGGTAATTCCAGCATTAAAAAAATAAATAAAAAGGATCTGTACCCTGCTTTATTCTGCTAAATAGACCCATCTTGCAGTTGCATTTCCAATCAAAGCTACTACAGAAAGTTTTGTACCATCAAATATGCTCATATCTTAACTCATTGTACCTTCCTGCTATTTATCAGTTTGCCATTAGACTAAAGCACAGTACAGAATCTGTTCTTCTGAAGATGACA